AATAATAATAATAATAATAATAATAATAATAATAATAATAATAATAATAATAATAATAATAATAATAATAATAATAATAATAATAATAATAATAATAATAACATAACATGTGTATTTACTCAAATTTATATTTTTATGCTTTTTGCATTGACAATTTCATAGCAATTTAAAATACATCTTTTTTAAACCAGTGATTTGATTGAATTAATTGTGCCTAATTGTCATATTAATAACGTCTTATCAATAATTTTATTATTTTATAAAATGTAATAAAATAAAATAATTTTAAAAATAAATAATATTGTAACAGGTTCATTTTTTCTGATGATACATTTAAAAGATTATTAAAAATAATAAATAATGTGTATTTAATAGAAAGTATATATTTATGCCTTTTGCATTTACAATTTTTATCTCATCAACAATAAAATCTAAACAAAATTAAAAAATGGTATCATCAGACACAATACATAGATATCAGTATGATGACATAATTTTTGCATTAGAGTAGCATTAATTTGACCAAATATAATGCATTTGTTATTATGTCAACAACAAATTGTTGTGCTGCAAAATATTTTTCTTCTAATATTTTCTTCATGCAGAAATGTAACATTAGATATGTACAAAGCCATCTGATCCTCTTCACAGAAGTATTGTTTTATATACAGTGCCTATAGAAAATCATCATTCCATGTGAAAATCTATACGTTTTCCCACATCACACTTTGCTTTCAAAAGACGTTCGAGTTAAAGTTGTAGAAAGGCACAGGTTAGGGGACGGCTTTAAAAACAGTTTGAAGGCTGGAAAAAAGTTATAAGGAATGTGATTTGGTTTCAGACTATATTATAAAATTAAGTATTTATTTCAAAGGGCTATGATGATTTTCTATAGGCACTGTATAGACAAATAGGTCATAATGAAAAAAATGTTAATGAATCTGACCTCCGGGTGGTAGAGGGTATGTGGGCACTGTTGGAGGGCCCTCTGGTGGTCTGGAGGGTTCGAGTGTTATTGGCAGGATCATTGGCGTAGTCGTCGTAATAGTGGAACCATTACCTGAGAACACAAAGATGTGCATGATTATACAGCATGAAGCATTGTGGTATTAGACACACAAATACTACATGCAGAAAATAACTGGTCAGCACTAACGTCTCTCCTCACAATGGCAGCACTCGTCTCCTTCTGCTGGAGTTAGAATATGACCCTGACATCAGGAAAATGTGTACAAAACAATAGCAACACATTAGTATGATGATGGACTAGACAGAAAGTATTGTAGGTTACCACAGACACACAACACAGAACAAACACCACAGAACACACAAATGCAACACACACGCACACACACCTGTGGGCATCCAGTGGCAGCATATGGGCAGTATGGGCCACACTGTACAGTGAGGTTGGGCAAACACTGGCACAGCTGGCACTGACCTCCTTTCCAGCGCTCGCCCACTGCATATGTATGTCCCAAATACTCACACTCACTGCACGGCTCTGTCTGACAGCTGAACAAACACACGCACACACACACACACACACACGCACACGCGCACACACACACACACACACACACACAATGAGAATTTTCGCTGCTTTTCAACTTTAAAAAAAAAAGTAATTAGGACACCACATTTGTAATATTACACAACATTCAAATGTACAACATTAGAAATGACAGAAAAACAAAACAAATCAAATCAAATGAAATGAAACAACAAAACGAAATGAAAAAAAAACAATGAAACAAAATGAAACAAAACGAAACAATGAAACAAAGCAATAAAACAAAGTAGAATTAAACAAAACATCGGAAGGAGACAAAACAAGGAAACAAAACAACAACGAAAAAAAGGAAAGGAAAAAACAAACAAAACAAAACAATGAAACAAAACAAAACAAAACACGAAACTAAACAACAAAACAAAATAACTAAACAAAACAAAACAAGAAAATGAAACAAAGCAAAATGAAACGAAACAAAACAATGAAACAAAACAAAACACAAACAAAACAATGAAAAGATATGAAACAAAATTAAATAAAATGAAACAAAATAAAACAACGACACAAAAAGAAAAAAAGAAACAAAGCAAAACAAAAAAACAAAACAATGAAATGAAAAAGCAAAACAAAACGACACGAAACAAAACAACGAAACAAAACAAGAAAATGAAACAAAGCAAAATGAAACAAAACAAAACAATGAAACAAAACAAAAAAGCAAACAAAAACAAAACACTGAAACAAAATTAAACAAAACTAAACAAAACAATGACACAAAACAACAACAAAAGGAAACAAAGTGAAACAAAAATAAACAAACAAAACAAAACAATGAAACGAAACAAAACTAAACGACACAAAACAAAATAAAAAAACAAAACAACAAAACAAAACACTGAAACAAAACAACGAAACGAAACAAAGCGAAATTAAACTTAACGAAACAAAAAACAAACAAAACAATGAAACGAAAGACAAAATAAATTGACAAAACAAAACAAAATGAAAACACAAAACAAAACACAAAACAAAACACAAAACAAAACAAACACAACAAAAAATATTATAAACGACAGAAAAACAAACCAAAACTACAAACCAAGAAACAAAGAAACAAACAGTCTAAATTCTGAATTGTTCAACGTGTAAATAAAATGCGATCAACATTATAGATATTAAATTAAACAGTTTTTAGATGTGTTACAGTCATTAGGTTCAAAAGACTACACAATTATCAAAACTACATGAAATACCACACAATCTTCACTGTATGAACTCATTTTAAACTATTTTCTCAACTAATTGTGCTCAACAATTTTTTTAACAGTCTACACTTGATTTTCTCATTCATGCACATTTTTATTTATCCCACTAACAAGACAATGAGTGTTTGATGGGGTTATGCTGTGAATAATATTGAGTTTGCAATCACAGAATTATGAGTAGTATATTGATGTACTTTATATTATACAGTAGTTTACACATGACACACATCTAATTAAAAGTGAAAAACGTTGTCTAAAGTGAAACATCAGTGCAGGGTTTTCTGTTTGGCAGACGTTCAAGATGCTGAAATGTGAAATGTTCATACAAACCGTCGGGCTTTCCGGTAAATTCCTCGACACTGACGGCCGTTTCCGTGTTTTGTGGGATTATTTGGGCTTCGGAAAGACCACTGGACACTCTGAACTCCACATGGACCCAAACACTCACCCCAGAGAGACCAGGAGGACCAGCCGCAGTGAACTGACCACACACACACACACACACACACACACATAATAAAAAGACACAAAAAACATAAATTCCTGAGATTTTATGTGTCTACATGTTTGTATTATGAGTGTGTGCGTGTGTGTGTTGTGTGTGTGTTTGGAAGTGTATGTGTGTGAGTGTTGTATAGGAGTGTTGTGAGTGTGTTGTGTGTGCGAGTGTAAGTTTGTATGTTGTGTTTGTTTGTTTGTTTGTGTGTGTACGTGTAAGTGTGCTTGTGAGTTTGCGTGTGTTCACCTCTGGGGTTGGGCTAACGGTGCTGTGTTCAGTGTGTGAGTATGTGTGTGTGTGTGTGTGTGTTTACCTGAGCACTCTGGATTAGGCTGGCAGTGCTGGGTTCTGCCTCTCTCACACACACAGATGTCACAGCCCACTTTGACCTGCTGACCGGGCCAGTAGCGTACGCCAGACACCTCACACACACACTCCTCTGGAGGAACACACTGATGATCCGCATTCATCACCTTCCCTTCAGGACACCAGCAGCCTGACACAGCAGAATACAGTACGACAGAGATTAATGCAAATCAATTCTCTTGTAGGGCAACACGGTGGCTCAGTGGTTAGCACTGTGGCCTCACAGCAAGAAGGTCGCTGGTTCAAGCTCTGACTGGGTCAGTTGGTGTTTCTGTGTGGAGTTTGCATGTTCTGCCCATGTTGGCGTGGGTTTCCTCTGAGTGCTCCAGTTTCTCCCACAGTCCAAACACATGCGCTTTAGGGGAATTGAATTAAAATGGCTGTAGTGTATGCTTGTGTGTATGAATGAGTGTGTATGAGTGTTTTCCAGTACTGGGTTGCAGCTGGAAGGGCATCTGCTGTGCAAAACATATGCTGAAATAGTTGGCGGTACATTCCGCTGTGGCGGTCCCTGATAAATAAACGGAATGTTAGAAAGAATTGTGTTTGAATGAGTGTGTATGGATGTGTAACAAAACAAAATAACTAAACAAAACAACACAAGAAAATGAAACAAAGCAAAATGAAACGAAACAAAACAATGAAACAAAACAAAACACAAACAAAACAATGAAAAGATATGAAACAAAATTAAATAAAATGAAACAAAATAAAACAACGACACAAAAAGAAAAAAAGAAACAAAGCAAAACAAAAAAAAACAAAACAAAGAAATGAAATGAAAAAGCAAAACAAAGTGACACAAAACAAAACAACGAAACAAAACAAGAAAACGAAACAAAGCGAAATGAAACAAAACAAAACAATGAAACAAAACAAAAAAACAAACAAAAACAAAACACTGAAACAAAATTAAACAAAACTAAACAAACAATGAAACAAAACAACGAAAGGAAACAAAGTGAAACAAAAATAAACAAACAAAACAAAACAATGAAACGAAACAAAACGACAAAACTAAACGAAACAAAACAAAAAAATTAAAATATGGCCGACCAGACAAATAATTAATTTGCTCTTTATTTAACAAATGAGCCAACTTTTGCCTAAGGAAGACTCGAGGGTCAGTTGTAATCTGATTCTAAGGTATTTATGACCCAAAAGGAATGTGCCATGCAGCACTGAACAAAGAACGGTTCAGGACTTCTTTAAGCTCCTTGCTTAAGACTGATGTTTTAATGTAAACTTCACTCTCTCTTTATGTGTAATCATGTGTTTTGCAACGTTTCCCTTGCTCCTGTATTAATATTATTGGTTTTAATAATTCTGTATACAATGTTTAACTCTACCAAAGCTAAACGAACTCATAAACGGTTCAAGTTTAGTTTTGTTCTAAAGATAACTTGCTATACTAATTGATCGTTGACATTTTATCTTAATATGAGTGCAACATGTTAAGATTTTAAGAGACTTGAACATTTCTGCCCCAGTTGGCCTATGCAAATTCATCTGCCTCGGACAAAGAGTCATAAAGTTATGTCTCTGGGACGTTAGTTTCTAATTGGTCAACTTTCCATGGAGGGTGGATCCGAACCTGCCCTATAAAGTTTGGGACCAAAGCCATGCCTCCCTCTCTGCTCTGAAACTCTGCTTTGAAACTCTGCTCTTCAACCCCCTCTTCTGAACAGCAACGCTCTTAAAGAGACTAAGCCGAAATGAAAATGAATGAATGAATGAAATTTATCTGCAAAAAATGACTGATGTCATCCCTCATAGCATGGATTCAACAAAGTGCTAAGATCAAACTAAGATATTTGGTGTTGGTCTCTATTATAAACAATCCAGAACATATTAATTTCTGTTATTGTCATTTTGGCTAATCTCTAGTCAACATGATGCAGGTTTGTTCTGAAAGTGGCTTTAAAGAAGCAGTGAAGTTTACAGCTCACCTGCGAAGCACTTTGAGTCAGGGTCACAGGTCGCGGTCCCGGATACATGAGCGCAGGTCAAGGGGCACGAAGCACAGGTGTGACTGACCAAACCAGCAGGACAGGAGACATCAGAGCAATCCTGAGCACACGGCCCTGAAAACAACAACACTCACAATCATACATTTAACACAACACTCACAGTCATACGTTTAACACAACACTCACAGTCATACATTTAACACAACACTCACAGTCATACATTTAACACAACACTCACAGTCATACATTTAACACAACACTCACAGTCATACATTTAACACAACACTCACAGTCATACATTAAACACAACACTCACAGTCATACATTAAACACAACACTCACAGTCATACATTTAACACAACACTCACAGTCATACATTAAACACAACACTCACAGTCATACATTTAACACAACACTCACAGTCATACGTTTAACACAACACTCACAGTCATACATTAAACACAACACTCACAGTCATACGTTTAACACAACACTCACAGTCATACATTAAACACAACACTCACAGTCATACGTTTAACACAACACTCACAGTCATACATTTAACACAACACTCACAGTCATACATTAAACACAACACTCACAGTCATACGTTTAACACAACACTCACAGTCATACATTTAACACAACACTCACAGTCATACATTTAACACAACACTCACAGTCATACATTAAACACAACACTCACAGTCATACATTTAACACAACACTCACAGTCATACATTTAACACAACACTCACAGTCATACGTTTAACACAACACTCACAGTCATACATTAAACACAACACTCACAGTCATACGTTTAACACAACACTCACAGTCATACATTTAACACAACACTCACAGTCATACATTTAACACAACACTCACAGTCATACATTTAACACAACACTCACAGTCATACATTTAACACAACACTCACAGTCATACATTAAACACAACACTCACAGTCATACATTTAACACAACACTCACAGTCATACATTTAACACAACACTCACAGTCATACGTTTAACACAACACTCACAGTCATACATTTAACACAACACTCACAGTCATACGTTTAACACAACACTCACAGTCATACATTTAACACAACACTCACAGTCATACATTAAACACAACACTCACAGTCATACATTTAACACAACACTCACAGTCATACATTTAACACAACACTCACAGTCATACATTAAACACAACACTCACAGTCATACATTTAACACAACACTCACAGTCATACATTTAACACAACACTCACAGTCATACATTTAACACAACACTCACAGTCATACATTAAACACAACACTCACAGTCATACATTAAACACAACACTCACAGTCATACATTAAACACAACACTCACAGTCATACATTTAACACAACACTCACAGTCATACATTAAACACAACACTCACAGTCATACATTAAACACAACACTCACAGTCATACATTTAACACAACACTCACAGTCATACATTAAACACAACACTCACAGTCATACATTAAACACAACACTCACAGTCATACATTTAACACAACACTCACAGTCATACATTTAACACAACACTCACAGTCATACATTTAACACAACACTCACACTCATACATTTAACACAACACTCACAGTCATACATTAAACACAACACTCACAGTCATACATTAAACACAACACTCACAGTCATACATTAAACACAACACTCACAGTCATTCGTTTTATTATAAAGTTAATGTCATACAGCTATTCAACAACACAAGCTGTTTTTTTTTTTTTTTTTTTTTTTTACCAATTCTAGAGTTCACACTTAGCTGATGATTTATAAAAGCTTGTTTGGCATGCTGTCCTGGGAGAGAGCCCCGAGCTCAAGGGCTGCTCGAGCCCGGGGCTTCCTCCCGTTGGCAGAGCGAGAGGGGAGCCTGAGCTCGGTGGATCTCAGAACTCCCCTGCTGCGGTGGCTAAGGGAACACAAGGGGTTAGACAAAGCTTGATTGTTATGTATGTTGAATGTCTTTGGATGGTGGGAGGAAACCGGAGAACCCGGGGAAAACCCACGCGGACACGGGGACGACATACAAACTCCTCACAGAAACACCCACCGGTCCTGTGGAACCAGGGCTGGCAGTGTTCTTGCTGTGTGGCTCACAGTGCTAACCACTGGGCCACCGTGCCGCCCAATCACAGGTAAAGGAGGAGAATAGGGGAGGAGGGGGGTTTCTTCCAAACGAAGATAAAGTGAACTGAAAACTGTGGCTATTTATAGTAGCTTAGGGCTCATATGATTGGAAGATAGTGATAAGTAAATGTGATACCGGCCGTGATAAATCATAAGCACGTGATCCTCTCGAAATTAGTTTATGAATAAACTTCACTTATTCAATTTAGTTGTTAGGTAAAGGTTAAGACAAAATTATCAAAATTTCAAATTATTCACACTCCTCTGAATTTTCTTTTATTTGTCAAATATTTCCCAAATGATGTTGAACAGATTCAGGAATTTTTCACAGTATTTCCTTTAATATTTTGTTCTTCTGGAGAAAGTCTCATTTGTTTTATTTCGACTGGAATAAATGTTTTTAAATGTTTTAAACCCATTTTACGGTATATTATCAGCCCCCTTAAGCAATATTAGTTTTGAATTGTCTTCAGAACTAACCACTGTTATACAATGACTTGCCTAATTACCCTAACTTTACCCTAATTACCCTAGTTAACCCTTTAAATGTCACTTTAAGCTGAATACTAGTGTGTAGAAGAATATCTAGTCTAATATTATGTGCTGTCATCATGGCAAAGAGAAAACAAATCAGTTATTAGAGATGAGTGATTAGAAATGTGCTGAGAAAATCTTCTCTGTTAAAGAGAAATCGATGAAAAACATATACAGGAGGGGAATAATTCAGCTGATTTTAAATAAAGTGCCGTTCCCAAGTATCGTTAAACAGTTTTGACAGTCATTTACTCTTTTAAAAGAGGGCTGAACATCATCAGTGAGTTTCTCCACAGTGTCGTCTGTATCTTTAAACTGGGCTTTATTTTTCCACTGGATTCTGACTGGCTGTCAGTGTTTTATCAGCTGGGAAAAGTCATTCAGAAAATGATCCCAATGATATTGCATCCTGGTATAGAGTACCCTCTGTATCTTTATCGTTGTAGTTGTGGTGTGAACTATGCTATTCTTTAACACCGTGAACCATTTTTACAACTATATCATTATTGTTATCTTTATAGTTATCATGCTTGGTATGATTGGGCCTTAAGACTAACAATGTGCTAACAATAGGCTAAGATGGTCATAACTAGAAGCAGTTGTAACTTGAGCAGTGAACAAAAGGCTCTACACTGTAAAAAAATAACCGTAAATTAGCAGTTTCCCTATTTTGTGATTTGTGTTTTTATTTTCCCCATTTATTTATGCTTTTGAATTGCATTATAGGATTTTGATCTTTCCTCCAACAACTTTTTTTTTTAAAGATTTTATTTTTTGGCCTGTTTGCCTTTATTAATTTGTGAAAATATAAATTTCTATCAACTAATTCCAAATGAACAATAATCTACGTATAACTGAAAAGTTATATTCTTTGGTTTTCAATTATATAATTTCATTAACATCCCAGCTAGGAGGGACATTTAACCTTTATCTCTCTGACTACAGGCTAAGCCAGTGATGCAAATGCTTTAAACGACTCTGTTTTCTGGTGTTGCTTTTATGCTACAGAAACCCTATGTTGATTAACTTGTGTGGTCAGTAGCTGGGCCGCTTTTTAACACCTATGCCATGCTGACTCCAATACTGAATTTGCATGCTTTGTTTAGCTATATCCCCTCCTCCTAAGAACACAATATAGCCATGAAATCTTTGTCTTAATTCAGACTTATGTGAGACTTGTGAGAGACTTGTGAAAGAACTTGCAGACTGCAGACCTCTAGTAGGCTCTTGGAGACACATGGACATCTAAAAGACGCTGTATGACTGCAGATTAACCAACACGTCTCAATAAAGGATTTCTGCTTGTTCCGAGTCTCCTGGACTGGGTTCTTCTCTCCTTTTCACTCATTTATTTTTTTTTTACAACAAATTGGATCGGACGGTATTTCAGACAGGAAGCGAAGGGGGAGAGAAAGGGGGTATAGGGATAGGAAATGTCCTCGAGCAGGGATTTGAACTCAGGACGCCCTGAAGTGCTATTGCACCATATGTCAGCACATTAACCACTAGGCTATTGCGCCAATCCTCCAACAACTTTTAACCTAGAAAGGTACAGATAAAGTGACTTTTGTAAGCATGTGTAATAGTTTGCAGTGCTATATTGTCTGGGTTGCTGTTGTACAACCTTGTAATAAACTGCAGCCCATTTTCTCTTCTTTTACAGCTTTATTTCCCTCTATAATACTCATTATACATAATATTTTTATTTTGAACAACTAAAATGTCAATAAAAGTCAGTTTGTTAAACTGTAGAGTTGAATTTTCAGCATTAAAAGTGGACAATGCAGAGATCAACATCCCATAATGCAATTCACAACCTCAAATGAGCCCGAAACATCACAAAATACACATTTTTTACAGTCTGTGTTGTTTCTTACTGATATCGGTGGTCATGTTAGTTTCTCCAGGTAGATCTGCACAGCTTCTACCACCGTTCTGCGGTGGAAAACACTCTCTCTGACGGATTTCAACACCACCACAGCTTTTACTGCAGTTTGACCATGTTGACCACGGTGACCAGTAGCCATCCACTGTTGAGACACAACCAGAAAACTCAATATCACAATATTACACCTACAATGAATAAACATGAGGCAAATTAACATATTCAGACAATAATTATTTGCATGGTATTTTAAGTTGTTTTATACCATAGTACACTGCTAAAATGCTTTTCTTGCTTTGAATTTTGTCTTGTTTCTAATCCAAATATCCAAAAACTATTAAATCAAAAAGCATTTCATAGACAAGAAAAAACATTGTATTATTTTAAGAAATATTGAGTCAACATTAAGTGAGTATTAGTAAGGAGAGCATTTTAAATAAGAAATGTATTTATTGCAGTGAATACTGCAGCAACGATGCAATTTTTTAAATCTAAATTACAGGAATAAATTAAAATTGTATTTTTATTGGTCATTTTACTATTGGTAAAATGGTTATTTTAAATTGTAATAATTTCACATTTTTATTGTACATTTGATCAAATGCAGCCTAGATGAGTAGTATAGACTGCTTTTTTGTTTGGTGTTAACAACTGTTAATTAAATTACATCTCGAAGCAATTTTATTCAATAATATCAAAATGCAAAATCAGAACCAAGCCTAATCAATCCCACCTCTGGTGGACTTTAAACAACCACAAAAAAATAAATAATAGCAATAATAATAATAATAATAATAATAATAATAATAATAATAAACAAATGCATTGTAGATCTTAAAATTTAACTAACAAAACTAAAACAACAACAAAAAATTTAATGTAGTGCTTAAATAAATAAACAAATAAATGCAATTCCAATATTATAAATAAAAGAAATTAAAAAATAAATGCAACGTGGACCTTAAAAAATATAATAATAAAAATAATAATAAATAAATGCAATCTAGGCCTTAAAAATAAATAAATAAACGTAGACCATGAAATAATAAATAAATGAATAAATAAATAAATAAAAGTGACGTTATCCTTAAAAATAAAATTTATAAATAAATGCAATGTAGACCTTAAAAATAAATTAATAAATACAATGTAGACCTTAAAAAAATAGATAAATGCGATGTAGTTCTTAATAAATAATAAAAATGCAATGTAGACTTTTAAAATAAATTACTAAATGCCTTTTAAATTGATATATACCCTCAAAATAAAAAAATAAATGACTGAATAAATGAATGAATGAATGAATGAATGAATGAATGAATAAGTAAAAAAATAAATAAATAAGGCGACGCAGTGGCGCAGTGGGTGGCACGTTCGCCTCACAGCAAGAAGGTTGCTGGTTCGATCCTCAGCTTAGTTGGCGTTTCTGTGTGGAGTTTGCATGTTCTCCTTGCATTCACGTGGGTTTCCTCCGGGTACTCGGTTTCCCCCACAGTCCAAAGACATGCGGTACAGGTGAATTGGGTAGGCTAAATTGTCCGTAGTGTATGGGTGTGTGTGTTTGTGTGGATGTTTCCCAGAGATGGGTTGCGGCTGGAAGGGCATCCGCTGCGTAAAAACTTGCTGGATAAGTTGGCGGTTCATTCCGCTGTGGCGACCCCATATTAATAAAGGGACTAAGCCGACAAGAAAATGAATGAATGAATAAATAAATAAATGCACTGTAGAACTTTAAAAAAATTAATTAATAAATAAATGCAATGTATAAATAAATAAATAAACAAATGCATTTGTAAAAATAGAAACAAAAAAACAAAAACAAATCAAAAATAAAATATTTTCCACAACGATTTTAAAAAGATGATGACTTCTACTGCTGATAAACCCGGAAATGTAAAAAGGGTCTAGGGTGCGAGTGTGTGTTACCGGCACAGGCGGTGGAGTAGCACTGCTGGCGTTGTTTTTTGTGTCCTCTACAGTCTGAAAGCCCCGGACTGCAGCTTCTCTGTCGGCTCATGATTCCCGATCCACAGCTCCGACTGCAGGCGCTCCAGGGGCCCCAAGGACCCCAAACCCCACAGCCAGACTCATCTGAAGCCTCCGTCCCGGGACAGTCTGATACTCCATTACACATCTGCAACAACACAACAAAACCACACACTTTATCACAGCACAATTAGACATATATTCTATAGCTCAATATGGTGATAATACACAAATATACTTCATTGAACATGTACACATGGACATCTCCTATAGACTATATAACTGCAGGTTTAATATCTTTATATACCGAGTGAGAATTACAGGGGGATTTGGCACTGAAGAACATCAAAACAATATGTATAGACCAGGGGTGGGCAAACTCATTCCTGGAGGGCCGGTGTCCTGCACAGTTAAACCCCGACACTAATCAAACACACCTGAATAAGCTAATCAGTGGCTGCGTCCGAAACCGCTTACTTCCATACTATATAGTAGGCTAAAACCAGTATGCGAGCCGAGTAGTATGTCCGAATTCATTGAATTCGAAAATCAGTATGCGAGAAGTACCTGGATGACTTACTACTTATGGCGAGATTCTAAAGTGCGCATCCCATGCATGCTGCGCCATCCCATGATGCCCCGCGAGAGAATTCATCAATGGGAGTAAAGCGACGCAAATTACGCAGGTAGGTCATGTGACCATGACAAAATGGCGGATGTAGAACGTCCGAATCCCATTCATACTTTTCACATTCATACTGTATAGAACGCACTTTTCTAACGGCCGAGTAGTACGTTTAAATTCAAATGCAGTACCTACTGAGTAGTAGGTGGTTTTGGACACAGCCAGTGTCTTCAAGATCACTAGTAATCTATAAGCAGGTGTGTTTGATTAGAGTTGGAGCTAAACTGTGCAGGACACCGGCCCTCCAGGACTGAGTTTGCACACCCCTGACATAGAGGGTCTGCCCTTTAATAGTTAAGAAATAGTTTGCTCTGATCTGTATCTTAAATAATATAAATAATTAAAAGAATAGATAACTTCAATATATAATTGACCACCCCTATAACGATTCATACTGTTGTAAATGTATATTTGCGCCGAAAATATTAATTCATTGGTTTGGAACTGGCAAATCTAGAGCATCAACAGACCGCGTAAGTGTTCACAAAACATGTTTCATTAAAAAGGGTGCTTGTAGGTGTCTTTAAAACTAGATGCTAGATTTATATACTGGCTTGCACATGGAAGCTAACAGTCAAATAAAATGCAGTCTTTCATGGTCATCCATTAATAGGTGCAGGAAAGCAAACCTGTCACCATTCGTTTAATATCACAAATAACATTGAGAGCCACTTAATATCCCTCAAAACACTGAAAACAGAACAAGTTTGATTATTAAATTAGATGTAATTGAATTTAATATATAACTGGCTCACCGGGACATATTATCAAACATAAACAAAAAACTTGACAACCCCCCCAAACCCCCCCCTTTCCAATCGTCCAACCCAAGCTCATTCTGGAAACGTAGCCCCGCGGAGACCGCGATTTACGTGGCCGGAGGTACGTAAAGGCCGCGTTTAGTTTTTTTCGAGCGAACGCTGCGGGGCAGTGTGGCGCCGCTCCGCCCCTCCTCTTCGCACTCGTCGGCCGACGGCTCGCCTCCGAGTGGAGGGCTTTCCCTATGCAACCAGTTTGTCCGCTTAGCTCACAGCGTTGCGTCGGCGGAGAGGAGACCCCGGAGGAGGAGGAGGAGCCGGCCGCGGTGGACAATGACCGTGATTGAGTCCGGGGAACAGCGGTTCCGGAAATCAGGTAAGACGAAAAATGAAATCCGAAAAATAAGGGCGAGAACACGGCGGGATCCGAAAACGCGGTCGAAATCGAAGACGAGGGCTTTTGCTTTTTTTTTTTTCTGTACGGCTTTTGCGAACCGTCGCTCAGGTTTAGGGAAGGAGGAGGAGGAGGAGGAGGAAGAGGAGGGCGGCCGAGTCGGCCGATCCGGCGGCTTTTCGCGCGAGAACAGCGTGGGCGCGAACGGCGCGCGCTCCTGAGAGGCGCCCGAGACGCGAAAAAGCGCGCACAGCGGCCTCTCGCGGATCCGCGAAAACAAAAAACGCTCAAATACGTACTTCCCGGGACGTAAATCGCGGTCTGCAGAAACGTCCGCAGGGCTACATTTCCACAATGAGCCCGGGTTGCAATCGTCAATGCATAATTGGCACCCTGTTTATATATAATAATTTTAACTGATAAAAGCTAATAGTTACTAATGAATTAAAGTTATTAGTAACTAATAAAGTTGTTTTGCATTATATAAAATGACCCTGATTCTATACTGGTGATGCATAAACACAAACAAACACTGAATGGACACAGAAGAGGTCAGTATACCGTATTAAAGGGAACGCAGGATCCGTCAGCACAGGTGAACTCTGGACAGATGCGACTGATGTTTCCTTCACTTGGGGGCGCTGCGGAGGGTCTCACCTTATCTGGACAAAATGACAATTATATAAATGGTATGCTCCCCTTAAAATGTTTTGAGTAGATTATTTCATTTTTTTTTATTGCTGTAGAATGCAGTATGTATATTGGTATACTGCATGCATATACAGTATTGCTTTAAATCAAAACTAACATATTTTTATATAAAGAGTGATTTTTAAAATAAACTTTACTAAACCACTTTAAACATTTCTTTTATAAATTCATGTTTTTGTTTCTAAATAATCAGTATATTTCGGAATGCATCATTAAATGCATGTATCCAAATTAGATTGTATTTTAAAATAATAATAAAAAACTAAAACAATTAAAAAATGCGTTATAAAATGATTAATATTTAATTTATTTACATATTTTAATTTACATTATTTTATTGAGTATAAAAAAATCCTAGTATATATATATTTTTTTTACATTTTAGGTGAGTTACAGTAGAGGTTCAACATAACATAAACAGACATTTGATCAGATTTGAGATATTTAGTTCGAGTAGTCACTGACCACAGAGGATCTCGTCCTCTCCTTTCGGGCAGTCGGGAATGCCGTTACACACACGTGAAGCGTTCACACATGTGCGATTATCACACGAGAAGCTGCCAGGACAGGGAGGAATCCGTGTGGATCCTGGAGGAAAACATCAAGCAAACACAAAAACAGACTTCAGTGTGTCAGTGATTACTCTCAGTGTCTGGTCTACACAGTGACAACAGTGAAAGTGCTGATGAAAAGACTAGTGATACAGGTACTGAGTGAACATTTTACTTAAACACAAGTCTTCGCTCAAAATTAATTTATTAAAAAACAAACAAACTCAATCTTGTACATTCTGACAATACACAACAATGAGCTAATAGTGATGAGCTAATGAGCTTTCAAGGTGAATAAGTAAAAAAGTATTTAAGTCAGAAGTTTCTGAAATGTGAAATTTTGACTGATAGTCCAGCCCTAAATGACTGATATCCCCACCCTAAATGACTGATATCCCCACCCTAAATGACTGATAGTCCCACCTAAATGACTGAAAGCACCGCCCTAAATGACTGATATCCCCACCCTAAATGACTGATAGTCCCACCTAAATGACTGAAAGCACCGCCCTAAATGACTGATAGTCCCACCTCAAAGGACTAATAGTCCAGCCCTAAATGACTGATATTCCCGCCCTAAATGACTGATAGTCCCACCTCAAAGGACTGATAGTCCAGCCCTAAATGACTGATATCCCCGCCCTAAATGTCTGATAGTCCCACCTCAAAGGACTGATAGTCCAGCCCTAAATGACTGATATTCCCGCCCTAAATGACTGATAGTCCCACCTCAAAGAACTGATAGTCCAGCCCTAAATGACTGAAAGCACCGCCCTAAATGACTGATATCCCCGCCCTAAATGACTGATAGTCCCACATAAATGACTGAAAGCACCGCCCTAAATGACTGATAGTCCCACCTCAAAGGACTGATAGTCCAGCCCTAAATGACTGAAAGCACCGCCCTAAATGACTGATAGTCCCACTTTAAAGGACTGATAGTCCAGCCCTAAATGACAGATATCCCCGCCCTAAATGTCTGATAGTCCCACCTCAAAGAACTGATAGTCCAGCCCTAAATGACTGAAAGCACCGCCCTAAATGACTGATAGTCCCACCTCAAAGGACTGATAGTCCCACCTCAAAGGACTGATAGTCCAGCCCTAAATGACTGAAAGCACCGCCCTAAATGACTGATAGTCCCACCTCAAAGGACTGATAGTCCAGCCCTAAATGACTGAAAGCACCGGCCTAAATGACTGATAGTCCCACCTCAAAGGACTGATAGTCCAGCCCTAAATGACTGATATTCCCGCCCTAAATGACTGATAGTCCCACCTCAAAGGACTGATAGTCCAGCCCTAAATGACTGATATTCCCGCCCTAAATGACTGATAGTCCCACCTCAAAGGACTGATAGTCCAGCCCTAAATGACTGATATCCCCGCCCTAAATGACTGATAGTCCCACCTCAAAGGACTGATAGTCCAGCCCTAAATGACTGATATCCCCGCCCTAAATGACTGATAGTCCCACCTCAAAGGACTGATAGTCCAGCCCTAAATGACTGATATTCCCGCCCTAAATGACTGATAGTCCCACCTCAAAGGACTGATAGTCCAGCCCTAAATGACTGATATCCCCGCCCTAAATGTCTGATAGTCCCACCTCAAAGGACTGATAGTCCAGCCCTAAATGACTGATATTCCCGCCCTAAATGACTGATAGTCCCACCTCAAAGAACTGATAGTCCAGCCCTAAATGACTGAAAGCACCGCCCTAAATGACTGATATCCCCGCCCTAAATGACTGATAGTCCCACATAAATGACTGAAAGCACCGCCCTAAATGACTGATAGTCCCACCTCAAAGGACTGATAGTCCAGCCCTAAATGACTGAAAGCACCGCCCTAAATGACTGATAGTCCCACTTTAAAGGACTGATAGTCCAGCCCTAAATGACAGATATCCCCGCCCTAAATGTCTGATAGTCCCACCTCAAAGAACTGATAGTCCAGCCCTAAATGACTGAAAGCACCGCCCTAAATGACTGATAGTCCCACCTCAAAGGACTGATAGTCCCACCTCAAAGGACTGATAGTCCAGCCCTAAATGACTGAAAGCACCGCCCTAAATGACTGATAGTCCCACCTCAAAGGACTGATAGTCCCACCTCAAAGGACTGATAGTCCAGCCCTAAATGACTGAAAGCACCGCCCTAAATGACTGATAGTCCCACCTCAAAGGACTGATAGTCCAGCCCTAAATGACTGATATCCCCGCCCTAAATGACTGATAGTCCCACCTCAAAGGACTGATAGTCCAGCCCTAAATGACTGAAAGCACCGCCCTAAATGACTGATAGTCCCACCTCAAAGGACTGATAGTCCAGCCCTAAATGACTGAAAGCACCGCCCTAAATGACTGATATTCCCGCCCTAAATGACTGATAGTCCCACCTAAATGACTGAAATCCCCGCCCTAAATGACTGATAGTCCCACCTCAAAGGACTGATAGTCCAGCCCTAAATGACTGAAAGCACCGCCCTAAATGACTGATAGTCCCACCTCAAAGGACTGATAGTCCAGCCCTAAATGACTGAAAGCACCGCCCTAAATGACTGATAGTCCCACCTCAAAGGACTGATAGTCCAGCCCTAAATTACTGAAAGCACCGCCCTAAATGACTGATAGTCCCACTTTAAAGGACTGATAGTCCAGCCCTAAATGACTGATATCCCCGCCCTAAATGACTTATAGTCCCACCTCAAAGTACTGATAGTCCAGCCCTAAATGACTGATATCCCCGCCCTAAATGACTGATAGTCCCACCTGAAAGGACTGATAGTCCAGCCCTAAATGACTGATATCCCCGCCCTAAATGACTGATAGTCCCACCTCAAAGAACTGATAGTCCAGCCCTAAATGACTGAAAGCACCGCCCTAAATGACTGATATCCCCGCCCTAAATGACTGATAGTCCCACCTAAATGACTGAAAGCACCGCCCTAAATGACTGATATCCCCGCCCTAAATGACTGATAGTCCCACCTCAAAGGACTGATAGTCCAGCCCTAAATGACTGAAAGCACCGCCCTAAATGACTGATAGTCCCACTTTAAAGGACTGATAGTCCAGCCCTAAATGACTGATATCCCCGCCCTAAATGACTGATAGTCCCACCTCAAAGAACTGATAGTCCAGCCCTAAATGACTGATATCCCCGCCCTAAATGACTGATAGTCCCACCTCAAAGGACTGATAGTCCAGCCCTAAATGACTGATATCCCCGCCCTAAATGACTGATAGTCCCACCTCAAAGACCTGATAGTCCAGCCCTAAATGACTGAAAGCACCGCCCTAAATGACTGATATTCCCGCCCTAAATGACTGATAGTCCCACCTATATGACTGAAAGCACCGCCCTAAATGACTGATAGTCCCACCTCAAAGGACTGATAGTCCAGCCCTATATGACTGATATCCCCGCCCTAAATGACTGATAGTCCCACCTCAAAGGACTGATAGTCCAGCCCTAAATGACTGAAAGCACCGCCCTAAATGACTGATAGTCCCACCTCAAAGGACTGATAGTCCAGCCCTAAATGACTGATAGTCCCACCTCAAAGGACTGATAGTCCAGCCCTAAATGACTGATATCCCCGCCCTAAATGACTGATAGTCCCACCTCAAAGGACTGATAGTCCAGCCCTAAATGACTGAAAGCACCGCCCTAAATGACTGATATCCCCGCCCTAAATGACTGATAGTCCCACCTCAAAGAACTGATAGTCCAGCCCTAAATGACTGAAAGCACCGCCCTAAATGACTGATAGTCCCACCTCAAAGGACTGATAGTCCAGCCCTAAATGACTGAAAGCACCGCCCTAAATGACTGATAGCCCTGACCTAAAAGACTGATACCCCCGCCCAAATTGATTGATAGTCCCGCCCTAAAGGTTTGATAGCCTCGTCCTAAACTACTGATAGCCCTGCCCTAACTGACTGCTAGCCCTTCTCTAAATGACTGATAGTCCCGCCTCAAATGACTGATAGTCCCACCTTAAAGGAATAATAGCCCTGTTCTAAATGACTGATAGCCCCGCCCTAAAAGACTGATAGCCCCGCCCTAAATGACTAATAGCCTTACTCTAAATGAATGATAGCCCTGCCCTAAATAACTGATAGTCCTGCCCCAAATGACTGATAGTCCCGCCCTAAATGACTGATAGCTCCACCCTAAAGGTATTCCATGTGACCAGAAGTGAAGAAAAGTCATTTTTCTATAAGAAAACAGAAGGTTATGATGTAAGAAATAAAAAAAAAGCTCCAGTATTTTACCGCAGTTGTCCAGGCTCTCGTCGGAGGCATCTCTACAGTTTGGCGTCCCGTCACAGAGCTGCTGGTACTGGACGCACTGGTCTCCGCTCTGGCAGAGGAACTGGTCAGATTGACAAGTGCGGGAACAGCGTTTCTCATCACTGCCGTCCAGACAGTCTGTCTCTCCATCACAGCGCCACGCTAGCGGCACACACTGACCACTGGTGCAGCCGAACTCAAACTGACTGCATCCTACAATCACACGTTCACATGATTAATACACGTGCTTTACATCAGCATCCATCAGCAAAAAGACACTGCCTTTAATAATTGAATCAGATTTAGTGTTTGGTTGACATCATCATGAGATCAACACATATTGATAAATGCACTTGATGATGGATGTTAAAATGCAATCATGTTAAAAATGTTAAATGTTATATGCAAAAATATTAATTTCCATCACTGAAACCTTTGGCAGGACAGATGAGCTCATCGATGCCGGATGGACAGTCTCTGTTTCCATCACACACTCTCTCTGCAGACACACACTGATCTCCCGGACACTGGAGCTCTCCGAGAGCACACACACACCCTCGCTCATCACTGTAATCTCCGCAGTCATCGTGACCATCACAGCGGTGCAGAAACAGCACACAGCGACCGGAGGAACAGCGAAACTCCTCCTGCCGACACACCACGCCACAGTCTGCAGAAACAAAACATTAAGAAAACATTTAGAAAACATTCACGAAACATTCAGACAACAACATGTCAGGCCAGACATCTGGTAAAGCAGATGATGATATCATTAATTTTACACAATGATGCATATAATCAGATTCAGATTTTATGAATCAGGGCAATTTATTTATTTTACTTTTTAAAATAATGTATTAATTTACAGGGCAACTTCTAGACTGAATACAAAATAAAAATAAAAATTGCAAATTGCATTGATTTTTGTTGAGGATCACCTCGTATAAAAAATATGATATACAGATTACATATGTTCATATTTGATTTTCACACACGTAAAATATATAATATGTGCAACATATATATTTCAAAATATTGCAAAAATATCCATTTACATATATTTTTAACTACTACAATGTACATATGTTGAAATTTATTAAATATATTTGTATGTATATATTCACAGGCATATATGAACACAAATATACAATTTATAAATATATATATATATATATATATATACATATATATATATATATATATATATATATATATTTATATATATATATATATATATATATATATATTAAAAAGGTTTTGCAATATTTAGAAAGATACAAGTTGCAAATATGACATATTTTACATATGTGAAATCCAAATTTGTTGTATGTCATAAATAATATGCATATGTTTTCATATTCAACTCAATTCAATTCAATTCAACTGTTTATTGTCATGTGCACAGTAAGGAAACACGTCTCCCTGTACAATGAGATTCTTACTTTGCCATCCACAGTGAAGTCATACACACAACATACACATCATACACAACATACACATAAATACACATATATGCACAGAAGTGACTGAAGTATGATTATAAAATGTAAGTATATAAATATCTATGAAAGTAAACAATATATAAACCTGATTTGAGTAATGAAACAGATGTAAACAATGTACAGTGTTTTTTTTTTGTTTTTTTTATTTGTGCTCATTATGATAAAAGTGCATATATCAGATGTCTTTATGTATACTGGTTTTCAGCATATTTATGTTATGTTCATATATGGTAATCAGTGGCAGATTTAGGCATGGGGTCGTAGGGTGGCATTGTACGGTTGTCCGTGACACTCACAAACAGCAAATCACCCTACCACCCACCCCCTTCACTTTTGTCTGTGACACCAACCACCCCAGCACGACCGTCATTTGCCATAAGCTTGTGCCGCTACTGAGGTAAGATATGAACACATTTACAGAATAATAGCTACATAACATTTACTAAAATATTGTACATTTTTGTAATTCCAATAAATAAATAAACCAAATTTTTCAAAAATATGTTGACTTATATGACATTAATTATATATATATATATATATATATATATATATATATATATATATATATATGAAATCCAAATATGAACTTCATGAATATCATTTGCATATATTACCATATATTAAGATTTCTTTATGTGCACAGGTTTTCAGCAAAGATATGATTATGTTAGTAGTTCATTCATTCATTCATTCATTCATTTTCCTACGGCTCAATCCCTTATTTATCAAGGTCGCCACAGCTGAAAGAACCGACAACTATTCCAGCATATGTTTTACACAGTGGATACTCTTCCTGCCAAACCCAGTACTGGGAAACACCCATACACACTCTCGCATTCACACACACTCATACACTACGGCCAATTTAGCTCATCAATTCCCCTATAGCGCATGTGTTTGGACTGTGGAGGAAACTGGAGCACCTGGAGGAAACCCACACCAACACGGGGAGAACATGCAAACTCCACACAGAAATCTCAGAAAGACTTAGCCTTGACTCGAACCAGTGACTTTCTTGCTCTGAGGGGACAGTGCTAACCACTGAGCCACAGTTCCACCTTATGTTAATCATTTAGCATCAAGTATAATACATAAGGTTTAATACTACACAAACATACCATATTCATCAGAGTCATCAGCAAATCCACAATCCATCCTCCCATCACAGACTTTATGCCCCGGCACACAGCGTCCATTTGCACATCTGAACTCTCCGGAGGGACAGCCAGACTCAGGTGTGCTCGGAGGACAGAAGTCCTCGTCTGATTGGTCGGCGCAGTCTGGATGTCCATCACACCTGAGCTCCACAGGTAAACATGCTCCGCCAGAGCAGCGGAAGTGTTCAGGAGGACAGGTGATTGGACAGACCTCATCAGAACCGTCCCCGCAGTCGTCTTCATTATCACAGACCCACACTGCAGGAATACAGCGCTCAGATCCACCAGAACAGCGAAACTCTGAGTCCTTACAGGGAGACGGAGGAGGACACGGAGATCCAACACACTGCCACAAACCAGCAGAGCAAGAGCTGCGGATGGAGACATTAAGACCATAAAAACATCATAAAAACACCTGGACAGGACTTTTTCATTCGATTTTTTACTTTACCACACACTTGCAAAGGCATAGTGATGTTCTGTCCTGTTTCAGAAAATCAACAGTGCCAGTTTGATCAGTTTTAATGCTCAAGTACACTGGGACGCAAAAGAAAATGAGACAGTGCTCGCTGCAGAGCCACTTGGGGTCCAATGAGGGGGAGCTTGAGCTCTAACTCCTCCTCCTATAAGCTGGAGCTCAAGCTTTTCCTTGCTGGAGCTCAGCTCTGCTCAAGCGGCTCTGCAGTGAGGACCACTTGAAACAAAAAAACAGTAAAATAATGGAAAATGACAGAATACCTGTGAGTTAATTATATGTGATGTGATGTGTATTTATATAGCGCATTTATTGTGTATGGCCATACACCCAAAGCGCTTCACAATCATGAGGGGGGTCTCTCCACTCCACAGGGTTCAACGCTAAGGATTTTTTTCTACTGGCCCGATCGGACCAGTGGTTCAGGTTTTTACTTGCCCTGCCAATATTGCCACTGGCCCCACCAAAAAGAGTTAATAGCTATTTCTTAGCCACAAATAAAAAAAAGGGTCAAAATGTTTGTAAATCTAGATATTTAATATTTAAAATATACTATAAAACTATTGACCTTATTCTTCGCAGACGAGCAGGCGCTGCCATTTAAATCGTTTTGGCACGAGACTTCCGGTCTCATTCACTTCCATTCATTTTTAGACATTAAAAACTGCTGGTTTCGTTGTTTGATGTTGCAAACTGATATTTCCATGTTGTATTATTCTACTTGGTCTGTAGAGTCATGCAAACATTTGTTTGTAGAGCAAGTAGTTTGACCGTTTTTTGCCGTTTATTATTCCTTGTCATTTCTCCCATAGGCGACTGAAACGGAAGTTCTAAGACAATCGCGAAAACAGGCGCACTTCCGCATTTGAGAATAAGGTCAATAAAATATTTTTAAAAGTACAAAAACAAAGGATGACTGACCTGCCAAACTAACGGCAAACTGTACAAAACATTATTTCATTTTTTTTTCTTTTGTCGTGGTGTACCCTCGTAAATGTCTGTTTCCAAGACGTTAGAGACAAATGTTTTCCTCTAGCATCATCCCTTGATGTTCCCGCCATGTTGCTCTCTCTTAGCTGTAAAGGTTGTTACGGAAAAAAATAGCATGCTCACAACATCCAATCAGATACGAGGAACCGAGAAGGTAGCATTTAAAGGCTTAAAAACACAAACGGTTTCTCTATTCTGACTGTATTTGCATGCGTTTGACAAATAGTCACAGGCAAATGAAACTTTAATGACAGGGCATTTGTGGCCCGATTGGGCCAGTAAGGATCCTGTCTACTGTCCCGAGCATCTCACACGCTGGCCCCGGGCCATCGGGCAGTCCTTATTGTTGAGCCCTGCACCACCACCACCAGTGTGCAGCATCTACTTGGATGATGTGACGGCAGCCACAGGACAATGGCACCAGTGCTTCACCTCACACCAGCTATTGGTGGAGTGGAGAGACAGTGATAGAGCCAATTCGGTGGAAGGGGATGATTGGGAGGCCATGATCGTAAGGGCCGATAGAGGGACTTTGGCCAGGACAAAGGGGTTACACCCCTGCTCTTTCCAACACAATCTATTGGCAATTCGTAACTTTTTCATTTAGGGGCTAATTGGTATGAATTCGTACGATCTAATTCGTACAATTTAGTATGATTTGCTTATCCCCCAATGACGGTTGGGGTTAGGGGTGGGGTCAGGTGCCACGCCTCCTTTTTAAAATCGTACCATTTCGTACGACTGAACTTGTACGAATTCGTACGAATTAGCCACTAAACTGGCAAAACGTAAAATACTTACGTTTTCTCGTGAGATCAGGCTGGCTCTTTCACGAGAAGTGCCATGGGATTTTTAATGACCACAGAGAGTCAGGACCTCGGTTTAACGTCTCATCCGAAAGACGTTAAACATACGAATATATTCTGGCAGCTTGGTGCACCAATATTATAAAGTAAAATGAAGTAAAGTTTCCATCCCATAAAATACAGTAAATTCCTTTAATTTTAAAAAACGACTTGTAACCAGGCAGCCGTGCACAGAATTCAGCAGATTTCCGCAGATTTTTAGCCCATCATTGATTCTGTTTATTTACTTGAGTAAATGTGTGTAAATTTATATTTATTTAGTAAATTAGTTTCAGTATAATTCTTGACTAATATGAAAATGTTCATATGGTTTATTTACAATATAGTTTGTAAAGTATTTTTTTCTGTCTTTTAGTAGATATGTTATACAGAAGACTTGCATTGTTTACCAGATAAAGAGAATCTAATTGGATTTGCATTGTAAACATTAAATAAAAGTTAAAAAGGTGTTACTTTTTAGTTCATAAATTAAGGTTTTAGTTATGATACTCCCAAAATCATTCTGCATAAATCCGCAGATGTTAAACAAAATTGAGCAGAAATAGCAAAAAATGTCCGCAGATTCCGCCTGGCCCTACTTATAACTATAATTTTACATCATATTTTCTGCAATTTCTTTGTTTTTAATGTTTGATAAAGAATATTTATTTATCTGAACATCATAATTAAAATTACATATGAGGTTGACACATTTTTGCTATAACACAAAGCATGTTTATACTGTACTTTGCCTTTGTGGACCAGTTTTTGGCATTGTTGTCAGCCTAAAAAATCTTCTTTCTTTGTATGAATTGATTTAAAAATAAATTGCAAGGGCTACTTTGCATGCTTTTTTACATTTATACAAAATGCAAACTTGGCTTTGTTATATAGTGTTGTTTATTTAGGTAATTAAAAATTATTTGATTTATTTAAGGAAAAAAATATGTGCATAAAACTGACAATATTCATTCATTTTCTTTTCGGCTCAGTCACTTTATTAATCCGGGGTTACCACTGCAGAATGGACTGCCAACTTATCCAGCAAATGTTTTTACGCAGTGGATGCCTTTACAGCTGCAACCCATGTCTAGGAAACATCCATACACACTTACTTACAATCATACACTACAGACAATTTAGCCTACCCAATTCACCCCCACATGTGTTTGGACTGTGGGGGAAACCGGAGCACCCGGAGGAAACCCATGAGAACGCAGGGAGAACATAATAATAAGAAGAAATAATAAACTTTGGGATATAATCATCAACATCAGTATTCATAAAAACATTATTAGAGGACCAAAAAAACAACAACAATAATCGAGTAGAAATCTAGTAAACAAGTCAACCCTACATATTTGCACAGATCATCATGATGAGTATTTAATTTAATTGTAAAATAATAATAGTAATTATTTAACGAGTGCACATTATGACCTTTTTGAAAAAAAAAATTATATATATATATATATATATATATATATATATATATATATATATATATATATATATATATATATATATATATATACTATTATTATTATGCAATTTAATTAAATGCTCATGATGATATGAAATCTTTTATATCTCTGAAGATTGTAAAGCAAAGAAATATAAAGTATTTAAAGAGTGTGGATAATGCTCGCAAAAGAATTCCTTTAATGTGGAAATCGCACCAACCACCCTCAATCAAAGCTTGGTTACATGACATCTGAAGTCTTTTGAAATTGGAGAAGATTAAGTTCTCTCTCAGAGGCTCGTCTCACAAGTTTTATACTCATTGGAGGCCACTAAATTATTTTGATGATTTAAGACCTCTGGAAGTGATTATTTAAGAAATCATTTTATGGTCGTTATTATTATTATTTTTTTTAGACTAGCATTTTTTTTCTCCGGAACTGTCATGCCCTAAACTAGACATATTGGTTCAACTTCAGCACAACTAAAACCATAATAACCAAGAAGTAGGTAGCACATTATTGTTGATATAACTAGCTAATGTATTTATTTTTTTTACTTTTTTATTTAAAATTATTTATATATTTATCTTAAATTGTACTATTATATATATATATATATATATATATTTTTTTTTTTTTTTATCTTATTTTTATTTTTCCTATTACTCCGTTTTCTGTTATGTTTTACTAGAAAAGTGGCTATGTGTATGTATGGGTGGGATGGGTGGGGGGTTTTAGGTTTAAATGTTTACAAAAGTGTTCAAAAAGGAAAAAAGCAGAAATTGGACATTTGTATACAACAAATGCTATCCACTTGTGTTCAATAAATAAAGTTTATTAAAAAAAAAAAAAGAGTGCGGATCATGACCTTTTGAATTATACTGTTAACAAAATGAACGCATCAAAATCTAAACACTGCAAGAGCGCAGTGAACACTTCACTACTGAACCTTGTGCAGTGTGTAATATTCAGGATGATAAAGAGACTGTAAACAGACCAGTTCTGACAATGTTGAGTGACCATCGCTCCTGCTGGAAACACAGAGCCGTCCCACTCACATGGACACTGAGATGGAGAAATACATGCGTCGTCTGCAGACCAGAGAAAAACATCCAAACAAACACTACATCAGTGACTACAGCACACTGGAAATTGCACAACATTCACAAACAAACTGGAAAATACGTCACATTTCCATGCAGACACATAAATAAGCAGCTCTTACCGTGGTAAACGGTGCCTTGAGGACAGAAACAGCCCTCCACACAGGAGAGGGCGCTGCACAGGCTATCAGAGAGAGAAGGAGTGCTGGGACACGCTGGAGAACAGGCAGCACCACAAGCCTCATAAACCAAACCGTTCTCACACTGCAGCGCTGGAGAAATATAGCAGTGTACAGATTAAACACTGCTGAAGACACGTCAGAAAGAATGAAGCAAGTTTATAAAGCTAAACTATCGTTACGTCTGTCAGATTGTTATAGTTTTCTGGTAGTTGCTAAGGTGTTGCTATGATGTTGCAATAGATTTCTGGCTGCCCATTAAAGCATTTTAACTGGTTGCTAAGGTCTTGTTAAGAGGTCGATAGTGCATTGCTATGAAGTCTGCAGGGTGTCTGAATTGTTAATATGGGGTTGTATGAAGGCCTATGTAGGTGGATACTATAGTTTTCTGGCGGGTTGCTAGGTGTCCATGGGAACATTTTGAGGTATTCTCTGTGGTTGCTATGCAGCTGCTAGAGTGTTCTCTGTGATTGTTAAAATGTTGCTATGTGGTTACTATAGATATTTACATTAGATGTCGCCTACCCTGTTGTTGTCTATTGAAAGGAATGCTTCAATCGAGCCGCCATTTTAGTACAGGGTAGCGCTCCATTGAAATGAATGCAAGACCAAGGTGCATTGGAGGACTGTGGCCATCCAGAGCCAGAGAAATGCACATATATGCATATATCTAAGATCAGGAGTTTTCCCAGTGGTCATTATGCTAATATTTATTTTTCATTCATTTTCTTGTCGGCTTAGTTCCTTTATTAATCCGGGGTTGCCACAGCGGAATGAACCGCCAACTTATCCAGCAAGTTTTTACGCAGCGGATGCCCTTCCAGCCGCAACCCATCTCTGGGAAACATCCACACACACACTCATACACTACGGACAATTTAGCCTACCCAATTCACCTGTACCGCATGTCTTTGGACTGTGGGGGAAACCGGAGCACCTGGAGGAAACCCATGCGAATGCAGGAAGAACATGCAAACTCCACACAATAACACCAACTGAGCCGAGGCTCAAACCAGCGACCTTCTTGCTGTGAGGCGATAGCACTACCTACCGTGCCACTGCTTCGCCAAACCCTTAACTCATATTACTTAATGAAGTAAACAGTGAGTAAACTTGGCCACACTTTCATTCTTGCTATTAATAAACTGTCCACTATGACTTTTGCCTCAATAAGCTCATATTTTCTGCTTATCAGTAATTATTAAGGTAGTAGTTACAGTAGATTTAGGTATTATGATTAGGGATGTAGAATCTTAAAGATGCAGAATATGGTATTAACAAACAGCCGATATCACAATAATATCCACCCAGGCTCATTCTGAATATGTACTCCTCTATGCATTTCTGGAGAGCGCCAAATATATCCCAGGAGCTACGTTTGTATGCAATATTTGTTTTTGTGAATCCATCTGAATCCGCTGTGTGCGCTTTTTCAGATCTCAAATTTCTTTTTGAATGCCATTCTTACATTTCTTGCGTAAATCCACCAGAGGCCGCTGTTGACTGACTGACTGATCCGTTGATCCAGCCTCCTCCTTTCCTAAACCCAACCAATAGTGTTTTTAAAAGCACTGACTAAAAGCACGCCACTGCCTCGCAGCAAATATTTATTTAAATTACGAAAATTATAATTTTCCATCACTTTTCTATATTGATGGATCAGTGACCGCACGGGCATTCCTGACATTGAACAAGAGTTTGCGTGCATGGAAATGTACAATGCACCCTCCCTGTTTAATTTGATCTAATCCGTGTCCTGAAACACACCCCCGTTCCTGCTTTCACTTCCAATTCTGACGGAGGGAGCGATTCGTTTTTGAATGAATCTCCATTATGAACGAGTCGTTCACTGAGTTTCTGGCACTGCAGCATCTTGTTGTCAAATTTTCATTTACATTGTTTGCTTATTTTATTCAACAAAACTACCATAAGCTTAGTATTTAGTGCAAGTTGCCCTGCTGAAAAATCCAGCTTAAACCAGCCTAGGCTGGTTGGCTGGTTTTAGCTGGTTGACCAGGCTGGTTTTAGAGGGGTTTTGGCCATTTCCAGGCTGGTTTTCAGCCATTTCCAGTCTGGTCTTAGCTGGTCAGGCTGGAAAATGACCAGCTAAATCCAGCTAAAGCCAGTTTGACCAGCCTGGTTTAAGCTGGACATAGCTGGTTTTGGCTGGGCTCCCAGTCTGGCTAGGCTGGTCAAGCTGGTTTTAGCTGGTCATCTCCCAGCCTGACCAGCTAAGACCAGGATGGAAATGGCTTGAAACCAGCCTGGAAATGGCCAAAACCCCTCTAAAACCAGCCTGGCCAACCAGCTAATACCAGCCAAAAAGCCTAGGCTGGTTTAAGCAGTTTTTTTCAGTAGGGTGGTGCTACATTGCCTTATGGTGAATGCAGTAGGTGACTTTATTATCATCAAAAGCACTACTTGTTTGCACAAAAGTTCTAAAAAGCAAAAGTTCATAACAAATAAAAACGTAAACTAAATTTCAGTCATGAAATGTTCTGCCTTTGTGCTTTGTTTTCTTTGTTTTCTCATTAATTCACCCGTACACAGCGCTGAAGTCCAGCATCTTCACATTGTCACACTGTCTTGACTAGTGCGGTTGAATGACATTTGTCCTGGGAGCACTGTACCAATGTGGCGGCGCTATTGACGCATGCTCGGGTGCGTACGTCATATCTAGTGCATATATCTATGTGTGGTTACTAGTCTGTTTTAAGTGGTTGATAAATTGTGCTCAGGATTGTTATTAGTTGGGTTCTATGTTTGTGCTAGGTTGTACCTATGCTGTTGCTACAGTGTTGCAATGTGGTCCCTATAGTGTTCTGGATGGTTGCTAAGATATAATACTGTTGCTAAGGTGTTCCAGGTGGTTGCTTTGTGGTTGAAAGTTTGTTACACTGTTGCTATGCTATGGCCAGGGTGAGATAATAGACTCACGGCAGAGTTCTTGTGACCTCCAGCGCACATACACTCCTCTGCGGTTACACTCCTCTGCATACGCAGCTACAGCAGTACACAAACACTCACAATCGCCACCAGAGTCACACCTATAAAATACAAAATAGATGAACATTTCATCTAAAGCCGTGTTCCTCATCCCCACTGAAAAAAACAACTTAGGCTGGTTTTAGCTGGTCGTCCAGCCTAGGTTTAGAGTGGTTTGGCCATTTCCAGGCTGGTTTCCAGCCGGGTCTTAGCTGGTCAGGCTAGAAGAAGACCAGCTAAAACCAGCTTGACCAGCCTAGCCAGGCTGGGAGCCAAGCCATAACCAGTTATATCCAGCTTAAACCAGGCTGGAAATGGCTGAAAACTAGCCAAGAAATGGCCAAAATCCCTTTAAAACTAGGCAGGTCAACCAGCTAAAACCAGCCAACCAGCTTAGGCTGGTTTAAGTTGTTTTCTTTTCAGCAGGGATGTTAGATTAAATGCAAAATGAGTAAATATATAAAGGTGTATGTGTACAGTATAATGGACTTTTCCCTGGTTCCACTGGATGTTCTTACCCGCAGGCATCAAACACACACCAGTCGTAGTACTGCTGGTACGGCACTTCTGAATGACACGAGCTAAAGATCTCCTGATTGATCACTGCACACTTCTTTTTGGCCCACGTCACACGGTGAGGATTAATCTGGAGATAACAGAGGGTCATTCAACATGCATCTTACACTCAAAATAAAATGTACACAGTATTTCACGATTCATAGCTAGGCCCAGAGATCGATTTTCAGCCCATCATTTTAGTCTGTTTATTTACTTATGTAAATGGGTGTAAATATTAGTAATGAGCAAAGATGGATTGCATCCAAATAAAAAGTTTGTTTTGACATAAAATCTAAATATAAATAACTGTGTTCTCAAATGCATGTATGCGTGTATTCATTCATTCATTCATTCATTCATTTTCTTGTCGGCTTAGTCTCTTTATTATTCCGGGGTTGCCACAGTAGAATGAACCGCCAACTTATCCAGCACATTTTTACACAGCGGATGCCCTTCCCGCCGCAACCCATCTCTGGAAAACATCCACACACACACTCATACACTACAGACAATTTAGCCTACCCAATCCACCTGTACCGCATGTAATTTGGACTGTGGGGGAAACCGGAGCACCCGGAGGAATCCTAAGCGAATACAGAACATGCAAACTCCACACAGAAACTCCAACTGAGCCGAGGTTTGGACCAGCGACCTAGCGACCTGTCTGTGAGGCAACAGCACTACATACTGCGCCACTACGTCGCCCGTGTTTATTTATATACAAAATAAATATACAAACATTTTAGATGCGATTTTTTTGCCCAGCATTAGTATTTATATTTATTCAGATTTTATATTAAATTCAGTATTAATTAAATTCAATATTAATTCAAATTTAGTATATTACTGAATAATATGCAATTGTTAATATGATTTATTTACAATGTACTGTGTAAAGCAATACGTTTATATATCTTGCTTTGTTCTACAAGTGGTTCTAATTGCATTGCAAACTTTAAATAAAAGTTAAAAAGTTCTTATTTTTATTTATTTAGTTTTATTATTAGTTAATATCCTCTCAAAATCATTCCACATAATTATCCACATTTTTATTTTTATCTTTCAAAATTTTGCATTTAAACGGCAAGAAATGTCAGCAGATTCTGTTTTGGCCTGTTCATAACTGAGTTCTTACAAAACAGGGGTCTCTGAGATCCTGGTCTGCCACATCAGGACATGAAGGGCTGATCTTCCAGGAGTTTCCGAACAGCTCTGGAGTGGACTCCATGATGCCTTGTCTCGTAGTGAAGTCGTTTTCTGCATCTCCATCAAAATTTCCACACAGTCCTCCAACTCGTCCGTGCAAATGTGGCATCAGTCGGACGTAAACACGCATACCTGTGGATGTAAACAAACACAAACAGCTTTACACTACAATAGCTGCGATAAGAAAGGAATAATTAATGATGCACCATTGAATTATTAGAAATATTGCACAACACAGGTGGTGAGTCAGAGTAGAGTCAATTATTACACTCATATTATAGTTAACACATTGTTTAGATCTTGTATTTAGACACTTGTCAGGTTTTTGTCCTCCTCACGTTACTCTTGTGTGTAGCACGCGTTTCTTCCACATCTCCTCCAAAGCCCTCTGTTGTGTTTTGATGTGATTTTTGACTGTGAAACAACTCTAATCATTCAGCGTAGTGATATGGAGCGGTAATGTGCCTAAAACCTGCCGGAACTAGCTGTACCTTTAACTGCAAACCTCTTAAAGTTCATCAGCCAATCAGAATCAAGCATTTAACAGCCCCTTAGTGTACAATTAATCTTAAAATTGACCATGAAGTAAAATACCTCCATCCCAGAGCAAAGTGACTCCGAGTCGAGAGGAAAGAGACACAAATAACCCAACCCGCTCCAGAATCAGGCCACTGCCAGAGTATGACTTTGGAAGAGTGACTGGAATCCCATTAACAGTCACAGCTTTACCTGGGAGAAAAGAACATGCACAGTATGATCAGTCGTTGCTAGGTCGTTGTAGTGGTTTTTAGTAGTTGCTATGGTGTTTGAATGGTTTGTAGGTTGTTGCTAGGGTGTTATTGGGTGGTTTTAGGTTGTTGCTAAGGTGTTGTAGTGTTTTCTAGGTTGTTGCTATAATGTTTAAATAGTTTCCAGGTTGTTGCCAGGGTGTTATCGGGTAGTTTATGGTTGTTGCTAGGGTGTTGTAGGTGGTTTTTATGTTGTGGTTTCTAGGTTGTTACTAGGATGTTGTGGGCACTTTCTAGGTTGTTGCTTAGGTGTTATGGTGGTTTCTGGGTTGTTGTTAGGGTGTTGTGGAGCTTTCTAGGTTGTTGCTAGGATGTTGTGGTGGTCACTAGGACGTTCAAATGGTTTCTAGGTTGTTGCTAGGGTGTTATTGGGTGGTTTTAGGTTGTTGCTAAAGTGTTATGGTGCTTTCTTGGTTGTTGCTGGATTGTTGTGGTCTTTAAGTTGTTAGGGTGTTGTGGTGGTTTTAGGTTGTTGCTAGGGTGTTATTGGGTGGTTTTAGGTTGTTGCTGGGGTGTTGTATGTGATTTTTATATTATTGCTAAGATATTGTAGGTGGTTTTTAAGGTTGTTGTTGTGGTTTCTAGGTTGTTAGTAGAGTGTTGTTGTTTCTAGTTGTTGCTAAGGTGTTGTAGTGTTTTCTAGGTTGTTGCTATAATGTTTAAATGGTTTCCAGGCTGTTGCTAGGGTGTTATCGGGTAGTTTTAGGTTGTTACTAGGATGTTGTGGGCACTTTCTAGGTTGTTGCTAAGGTGTTATGGTGGTTTCTGGGTTGTTGTTAGGGTGTTGTGGAGCTTTCTAGGTTGTTGCTAGGGTGTTGTGGTGGTCGCTAGGATGTTTAAATGGTTGCTAGGTTGTTTCCTAGGGTGTTATTGGGTAGTTTTAGGTTGTTGCTAAAGTGTTATGGTGCTTTCTTGGTTGTTGCTGGATTGTTGTGGTCTTTAAGTTGTTAGGGTGTTGTGGTGGATTCTAGGTTGTTTCTAGGGAGTTATTGGGTGGTATTAGGTTGTTGCTAGGGTGTTGTACTGTATGTGATTTTTATATTATTGTTAAGATACTGTAGGTGTTTTTCACGTTGTTGTTGTTGTGGTTTCTAGGTTGTTAGTAGAGTGCAGTTGTTTCTAGGTTGTTGTTAGGGTGTTGTGGTGGTTCCTGTGTTGTTGCTATGGTGTTGTGATGCTTTCTATGTTGTTGTAAGGGTGTTGTGATGGTTTTTAGGTGGTTGCTAGGATGTTCAAATGGTTTCTAGGTTGTTGCCAGGGTGTTTTCAGGTGGTTTTAGGTTGTTGCTAGGGTGTTGCAGTTGGTTTTTATGTTGTTGTGGTTTCTAGGTTGTTACTAGGATGTTGTGGGCACTTTCAAGGTTGTTGCTAAGGTGTTATGGGTTTCTGGATTGTTGTTAGGGTGTTGTGGAGCTTTGTAAGTTATTGCTAGGGTGTTGTGGTGGTCGCTAGGATGTTTAAATGGTTTCTAGGTTGTTGCTAGGGTGTTATTGGGTGGTTTTAGGTTGTTGATAGGGTGTTGTGGGTGGTTTTTATGTTGCTGCTAGGGTGTAATAGTAGTTTTGTTGATATTGTAGGTGGTTTTTACGTTGTTGTTGTGGTTTCTTGGTAGTTACTAGGGTGTTGTGAGTTGTGTATACGTTTTATATGCTATTGTGTTTTTAATAGCTCTCTGTTATTGCTAACTTGCTGTCATGGTTTCCATGTTGTTGCTAAAGTGTTGTAGTGGTGTCTTAGTTGTTGTGGTGGTTTCTAGGTTATTACTAGGGTGTTGTTGGTGCTTTCTCAGTTGTTGCTTAGGTGGTGTTGTGGTTTCTAGGTTGCTGCTAGGGTGTGGTGGGGATTTCTAGGTTGTTATTGGGTGGTTTTAGGTTTTTGCTTAGGTGTTGTGAAAAGAACATGCAAAAAATGATTTGCTGTACCACATAACCTAAAAATAAAGCTTGCAGAAAACAATTTACACTGGTCTAACAGCTGTTGTGTTCACAGTGATGAATAACTCTCTGATATGAATGTGTGTTTCACCTCTCAGCAGGTGTATGGCTGTGTTCCCGATGGTCAGAGTGACTGATTTAGTGCAGGTCACTCCAGTACTCCCGCAGGGAACGTTCTCTGCACTGACACTGAACAAACCGCTGCTCTCCTGGACCAGAACGTACTCACAGTCCCCCAGAAAGGAGTAATGACGACCGTCAAATGTGATGTAGTGCGGGTCACCAGTGGCCACACAGGTGCCTGAACACAATGCCTGACCGCAGTGCCAACGCTGCTCTCGACAAACACTGTCAATGTGAAAAACAGATTTACAAACATAGTATATTATGGAGAAAATACTATATTCTGTCAAAGAATTAATCATGATTTCATCCATTTCATATACTCTGCACAAATGCACAGGAAACAGATATATCAAAAACACCTTCTATTTATTAACAAACCATAGAAACCAGAAACAAAAGAACACAAGAATGAACAGGATGCTTGCAAGACGGAACAATAATAAGCAAAACTAGGAGAGTATAAATACACAGGACATGATGAACTTAATTACAAACATGAGTGACACACGTGGAACTAATGAATACAGATGAATGGCGGGAAAAACAGAACAAAGGAATCACATGATACAAACAAAAGCACATGGAACACGACAAAGGGAAACACAGAGCCTGACATATACATGCATGTAAATATTAAATATGTTTATGTAATAAAATGTAAGTAAATGTAAAATATAACTATATATTCAGTTAAAATCAGAATTATTAGCCCCCCTTTGATTTTTTTCTTATTTAAATATTTCCCAAATTATGCTTAACAGAGCAAAGAAATGTTCACAGTATGTCTGATAATATTTTTTCTTCTGGATAAAGTCTTATTTGTTTTATTTCGGCCGGAATGAAAGCAGTTTTAAATTTTTTAAACACCATTTTAAGGACAATATTATTGACCCCTTTAAGGTTTTTTTCCGATAGTCTACAGAACAAACCATCGTTATAACTTGCCTAATTACCCTAACCTGCCTAGTTAACCTAATTAACCTAGTTAAGCCTTTAAAAGTCTCTTTAAGCTGTGTAAAATTATCTTGAAAATATCAAGTCAAGTATTATGTGCTGTCATCATGACAAATATAAAATAATTCAGTTATTAGAGATGAGTGATTAAAACTATTATGATTAGAAATGTGTTGAAAAAAAATCTTCCTCCGTTAAACAGAAATTGGGGAAAAAATCAACAGGGGTGCAAATAGTTTTGACTTCAACTGTATATATGAAAGTAGTAATTGTTTCTGCTCACCATGTGTTGCAGTCTTTAGAGATGGTGTCATTGGTGAAATAAAGTCTGCCATTGTGATGGCATGGACACTCATCTGGCTTCACACACTGATCACCCTGAAAACACAGGAATTAAGAAGTGACACAAACTTGGTTTAAAAGGCATGTTAGGCTTCTGATTGGTTGAATGGTGGACCTATTCTGTCATTTCAGCCAATTAGTTTAAAAATACGGTTACAAAGTGTTTTCATTTTGTTTAAGGGTCCCATGAAGTGCTGTGAAATGTGCATTTTTAATTCAATGTTCAATGTTTGACATGATTGCAGCTGAAAAATTAAGAGAGGGTGGGGCATAGAGTAGTTCCTCCCCTTTTTAAAAACAGCCAATAACGTTTAGTTTGTATCACAGCTCTGCCAGTGAGACTGGTTACGCTCAAGTGCATCAAATGAAAAGCAAATGAGTTTAAAGAGGCGGGGCATGTCAGATACTAGAGAGCATTTGATTGGTCAGAAGATTTGATGAGAAACTAAAGTATGAGGTAACGTAAAAAAAAAAAAAAAGAGTGATTCAAAGAGTTTAGAATGACACAAACCTGACTTAAAAGGTATATTAGGCTTCTGATTGGTTCTGTTCTGTCAGCTCTGCCAATTAGATTACACATACAGATTATACACGATACAAAATGATTTTGCACCTTGATGTCAGCGTACGCGCTGTTTTCTCCTTTCTGATTGGACAACATGGTTGAGTTAACAAAAATTAGGCAATATTATGCATGTTCTTGGCAATTGTATTGCATAATCAATATTGTTCGACCGCTGGATAGTTGTCCGCCTCTGTTCTCACATTTGCATTGACTTGCATGCAATTTACTTGTATACTTAATTCCCTATTTGGTGTGAACCTAGCATAAAAGTATCATTCAAGAGTTCACACTGAGCTGATGATCGATAAAGAGTATTTGGAATGCTGTCACGGGAGAGAGCCCTGAGCTCGGAATATCCTCGAGCTTGGGGCTACCTCCTATTAGAAGGGCGAGAGGGGAGTTCGAGCTCAGGTAGGTCTCGAGAACTCCCCTGCTTGTCAGCGTGTGGAAAGTGTAAACTTAGGATTATCTTAAATGATAACTTGGATTAGTCGATTGGCTTTTGAGTATGTCTTTGGATAGTGCGAGGAAACCAGAGAACCTGGGGGAAACCCACGCAAACACAGGGAGAACATGCCAACTCTGCACAGAAACACCAACCGGCCTGGTAGGAGGCTGGACCAGCGGCGTTCTTGCTGTGAGGCAACAGTGCAAACCACTGGGCCGCTGTGTCGACCTATCGGAAAAAAGTAGGTGTGGAAGTGGGGAAGGTTCACGGCGAAGATAACTGGAAAGAAAATCTTCGGCTATATATAATGCGTTTGTAATCATCTGATTGGGCAGATTAAAGTGCTAATGTGGTGCCAGCCATGTTGATCATAAGCACGTGATCCTCTCGGAATTAGTTTATAAATGTACCACACTTACGGCCACCTGTTGGCACAGTGTGTTTTGGCATTTTCATCTGGACAGAGTTTTTTTTTAACAAACAAAAGCAGGGAAAACTGTGTTTATAAAAGTACACGTGTAAATGTGGACATAGCCTGAGAGAAGACCCACCAGTAGTACAGTGCCCTCCGGACAGATGCAGCCATGGATGGGTTCAGTACAGGCATCCAGAGGAGAGTTTGGACTTGAGCAGGTCCTCAGACAGGAGCGAGGAGAGAAGATCAGAGATCCTGGACACTGATTGAGCTCTGGACACGAGAGATCAGTGCAGTTCCACACTCCACGAGCACAAACACTACAAACAAATAACGAGAGATTTAAAAGCTTGTTACAAAGCTTAGCTTATTACTATGGTGTTTTGTTGGTTTCTAGGTTGATGTGGTAGTTTCTAGGTTGTTGCTAGGGTATCTTTAGGTGGTTTCTAGGTTGTTGCTAGGATGTTGTGGGTGATTTTATGTTATTGTGTTGGTTTCTATGTTGTTGCCTGGCCATTGTGGGTGGTTTCTAGCTTGTTACTATGGTGTTTTGTTGGTTTCTAGGTTGATGTGGTAGTTTCTAGGTTGTTGCTAGGGTATTTTTGGGTGGTTTCTAGGTTGTTGCTAGTTTGTTGTGGGTGATTTTATGTTATTGTGTTGGTTTCTATGTTGTTGCCTGGCCATTGTGGGTGGTTTCTAGCTTGTTACTATCGTGTTGTGTTGGTTTCTAGGTTGTTGCTAGGGTATTTTTGGGTGGTTTCTATGTTGTTTTAGGTGATTTTATGTTATTGTGTTGGTTTCTATGTTGTTGCCTGGCCATTGTGGGTGGTTTCTAGCTTGTTTCTATGGTGTTGTGGTGGTTTCTAGGTTGATGTGGTAGTTTCTAGGTTGTTGCTATGGTATTTTTGGGTGGTTCTAGGTTGTTGTTTAGGTTTTGTGGGTGTTTTTAGGTTATTGCTAGAGTTTTTTGTTTGTTTTATTGTTTTTGGGGTTTTTAGGTTGTTGCAAGGGAGTTGTCTGTGGTTTCTAGGTTATTGTGGTGGTTTCTATGTTTTTAAGGGTGTTCCAGTTGGGTGATAAAAGTATTTAAAATTATAACTAAAATTAAAAATTAAATAAAAAATTAAAAAGGTTGCCTTGGCCATTATCTGAATTAAAAAAAAAGATTAAGTTTAAGTTTTAAAATGAATAACACACCGAAAAGGATCAACACAGTTCTGTTTTACCCTGGATTTATTGCTATTAATGTGTTTCACAAGCATGTGGTATTCATATGTTACTGTATACACATGTGAAGGTGTGAGGTAAAAATCATGAAAGTGTCCGATTGTGCAATCTCCATCTGTGTTTCATTATCAGATTGATCCAAACTCCACATTTCCACACTGAACATGAGGACCAGATGAGAAACATGTTTATCTTGTGCTGATATCAGCCTCCATAAACCTGCAGCGACGTGTGGTGGCTGACCTCAAAGCATAAGAGATGCAATGAAATCAACCTATCCCGAGACACAGAGCCCGCGGGTCATAGAGTGACTTCATCAGATCCCTCACACCTCTGCAACTCCAGAACCAAACACACACACACATACGACGGCAACTGCAGAACCAACCACACAACCCATGACTGGAGAAGAAAGTAAACCTTGACCAGTCACTAGCCGTGTTGTTGGTTTTACATTAGGCTGATGAGATGATGGAGCAGAAAACAGGTGAAAAAAATACCTTACCTGAGGACCAACCAAAACGCCTTAGCAACCGCTCTGAATTAGCAACCTGTCACATTAGCAACCATTAAGAACACCCTCATCTCTTACCAAGAACAACTTATCAACCTCTCAAATAATCATGGCAACCCCTTGGAAACTAGCAATGACCCATATTAGCAACTAATAAGATCATCAAAGGAACACCTTAGAACCCACTAACAACCACCTAGAACACTTTAGCAACCAATTTGAACACCATAGCAGCCACTCGTGGCCACTTACAAGTGCCAATAACCAACAGCTTAGCAACCAACCAGAACACCTTAGCAAACCCACGGAAACACCCTAGCAGCCACACATTATACACAAAACACCATAGCAACCACTCGTAACACCCTAACCGCCATCCAAAACACCTTAGCAATACATTAGAACACCCTAGCAACAACTCAATACACCCTACCAACTTTTTAGAACATCTTAGCAACCACTTGAAGAGCCAAGCAAACACCCATAAAACCCAAACCATCCAACCAGAACACTGTAGCAACATAATAAAACACCCTAGTAACCACCAAAACACTTTAGCAACTACCCTAGATATTACTACGACCACTCAGGACAACTTAACATTGCCTTAGATTAATTCTGCAACCACCCATCACACTGTAAAAACAAAGCCTGACATCCTATCAGCAACTACATAGCAACTACATAGATGTGCCAAGCAAGCACCCACAACACCCTATCAACCAACCAGAACACCTCAACAACCCGCTAAACACACTAAGAACCACCCATTAGAACACCTTAGAAACTATTCAGAAGACCATAACAGCCCCTTATAACACCCTGGCAACCATACTTTACACTGTAGCAACAAATCAGACCACCCTAGCAACAACCCAGAACACCCTAGCAACCAACCAGAACACCTTAGCCACCCGCTAAACACACTAACAACTACCCATTATACACAGAACACATTAGAAACTACTCGGAACACCATAACAGCTCTTTATAACACCCTGGCAACCATACTTTACACTGTAGCAACATATCAGACCACCCTAGCAACAACCCAGAACACCCTAGCAACCAACCAGAACACCTTAGCCACCCGCTAAACACACTAACCACCACCCATTATACACAGAACACCTTAGAAGCCACCCAGTACACAATAACAGCCCCTTATAACACCCTGGCAACCATCATTTGCACTGTAGCAACAAATCAGACCACCCTAGCAACAACCCAGAACACCCTAGCAACCAACCAGAACACCTTAGCCACCCGCTAAACACACTAACAACCACCCATTATACACAGAACACCTTAGAAGCCACCCAGTACACAATAACAGCCCCTTATAACACCCTGGCAACCATCATTTGCACTGTAGCAACAAATCAGACCACCCTAGCAACAACCCAGAACACCCTAGCAACCAACCAGAACACCTTAGCCACCCGCTAAACACACTAACAACCACCCATTATACACAGAACACCTTAGAAGCCACCCAGTACACAATAACAGCCCCTTATAACACCCTGGCAACCATCATTTGCACTGTAGCAACAAATCAGACCACCCTAGCAACAACCCAGAACACCTAGCAACCTACCAGATATGCAGGCTGCATACTGTTTTTACAAATATGAGTTTTGTAGGAATGTACTGTTTAAATGTCACATCAGAGAATGTAAACACTAATGCATTAAATAAACAACATGTAAGGAGTACATTATATAAAATCATTGTTCATCACATGCTTTTCTGCTAGTCCTTGTTTTTAATTATATGTGCTCTTTCCTCTTTGGCCCACATACATGCATAAGTTTGAGTACAAAGGTAATTTTCCGCTCAATATATTATCTGGACATTGGAGATAAAAATCAACCTCAAAATGATAAAGTCCAATAAAACTTTTCACAACACGACTATAAAAACCATCCACTAAGACAATAGACTGACTGATACTGTAAGTCTCAGTCACTATTGCATCATTTCTCTTTATATTGTATATCTCCATTTTAAACTCTGTTTAAATACATGGTTTATCTTGTGCACATGTACTGTACAAGACATTGGAGATCCAACACCCCGGTAAACCCCATAATATAATTATGTTTCATTATATTTATTACTAAATATTTTTGGGACATGTTATTTAATAGTTTATAGTTTATTTGTTAATTTAACTTCAACAAAAATGCATTAATAAAGTAGCCAGTACTATTATGCAGAATAAATACTTTAAAAATTAAATGAAATAAAATAATTGTTGTATTACAATAATTACAATTCATAAAGAAAAAAATATCATGAATTATTCAACAAAATAAATGTATTTGTATGCAAAATTTCTAAATGGTCTACATTTTTAACATATATTTTGCACAAAATTGAATGCATTTGGATTAGAGGTCTGCATTCAGAATAGATTTCTGAATAAAGCGTGGAAGCGGGCGGTCTAACAATATCGCTCCCGACTCCCGAGCGAGCAAGCACGCGTATGTATGTGTGTGAATGAGACAGCGTGATGCTGCGCTTAGCTTGTTTGTTGCTGTGCGTGTGCATGCAAGCGTGCGTGCGTATGTGTGTGTGTGAGCACGAATGAGGTGTGTGTGTGTGTTTGTTTATATAGACAGCTTGTTATAGGCTGTCTGGACTCTGCATAGCTGGGTGGTTTTCGGTTTTGTTCTACCCCCACTCCTTAGAGGGAACAGGCACGTTGGGCAGAAAACGAGGCGGGTCAGCCAGCGGGACAACGAATGCTGATTATAAGCGGGAGCGGTCGGGTTCGGGCTAAAATCTGGCGGGAGAGGTGATTCAAAATTTAATCTCTAATTTGTATCATGAGATTTGTGTCTCTTAAACATAAAATCAAATCTGTTTATCCTATTTTGTTAAAACATTAACTAATAATTGTCTTATTATATTCTGTGATGCTGCTTCACACAATTTTTTTTTATCATTTCATTAATGAAAGTAGAACATCAGCACATCTTCAGCTAATATTGCAATGTTACATTCCCCATTATATACAGTACAGTTGAATTCTTTACAAATGACTCATACGTTTTGAACAAATCATTTTAACATGATTCAGTGAAACAATCATTAAGACAGAGACTGGTCACCACCTACTGTCAGTTTTTATGTCATACTTTTTTTCTCAATTGATGATGAACCTAAATAAACAAAATAAATGGCTATATATGAAAAAATTCTAAATGGTTGTAATGTTTTTTTTATATATATATATATATATTTTGGACAAAACTTGAATGCAATTGGATCATAAAAATAGTTCAGCCTTAAATTAAATAAATTAAATTTTATTATTATATTCTGTGATGGTGCTTCATGTAACCCCGCCAGTCCTACGGCACCCAACCCGCTCCGAGCTGGTATCGAATCAAGTCAGTTGCTCTAACAAGGAGGCTAAAGACCATGGCCTCGAGTGTCTGTCGCTAGAGCACCTTTAGAGGTCAGAGGAGTGAGGTTTACCTGCACAGCACTTCACTAGCTGGCCTTCGTTACACTCACATCCCTAAACCTCACTCTCATCCGGGTCACGGCACCAATGTAACCCCGCCTATCCTACACCACACAACCCGCTCCGAGCTGGGATCGAACCGGCGACCTTCCGCATGGAAGTCGGATGCTCTAACAAGGAGGTTAAAGACCATGGCCTTTAGCATCTGTCGCTAGAGCACCTTTAGAGGTCAGAGGATTGAGGTTTACCTGCACAGCACACACTAGCTGGCCTTCGTTACATTCACAACAAAATAAAATATTTTTTTTATCATTTCACCAATAAAATTAGAAGTAAAAATAAAAGTTGCATTGTTTATAAATGAACATAATTTTGAACGAATCATATGAACGAATGATTCAGGGAATCAATCAATCATGAAGACAGGGACTTGGCGCCACCTACTGTCAGTTTTAGTGTCATATATATTTTTAATCTATCGATGACAAACCAAAACCGAGAGGGGTCTGGATGCAGACCTGGTGCAGTGGAATATGAGCTGCATCTAATGCAGGGGTATCAAACTCAATTCCTGGAGGGCCGAAGCCCTGCACAGTTTAGTTCCAACCCTGCTCCAACACACTTACCTGTAGGTTTCAAACAAGCCTGAAGGACTCAATTAGTTTGATCAGGTGTGTTTAATTAGGGTTGGAACTAAACTGTACAGAGCTGCGGCCCTTTTGGAACAGAGTTTGACACCTGTGATCTAATGGATTTCAATATTTTCATCTAACCCCACCCCTCACAGTGACATCACTAACTCTATTGAGTGTCTGAGATTGCATCACTGAGATACTGTATGCAGCTCAGCTTGCATCATCAAGGCTGCATTCAGATACTATTGCCAAAATCAGCAAAATATTCAGCAAAAATAAATTCAGTCATCATATTACACAACATCACACATAACTGAGAGTTTGAGATCACTTACCAGGTGTTGCAGTTGTTGTTTATGGAGCTGCCGGCGGGATGGAGAGTGTCTCCGCTCTTACAGGGGCACATGTGGACGGGCACACACTGACCCTGAGCGTCCTGCGCCAGTCCATCAGGACACTGACAACCCGAAACACACACCCTGCTGCCCTCGTCCGGCTCACAGCTCCAGCCGTCCCACAGATCAGCACAGGACGTCCCGCACAGACGCCCGCACTCCTGATACACCTGACCCCCAGAGCACTGCACCGCTGGACACACACAACACAAATTATAATTAACTATTACAGATTTTTTCTCTCTAATAATTATACATGTTTATGGGAGTGTGTTCCTTATTTATATGTTCAACAAATAATAGGGAAAGTTGCCAGATTGGCAGGTTACATAGAATTAATAATAATAATAATAATAATAATAATAATAATAATAACAAAAACCTACAATTAATTAACAAATAATTCATAACAAAACATACTTAATATAATTAATTTAATATTTAAATAGCATTCATTTGAAATGTTATAATTACATTACATATTAAATAATTAGTATTACATACATTTAATATTTAATTATAATTAATAAATACATATAACTACAAATATAATTAATAATTACATAATTATAATACTTACAATGCATAATAATAGACAACAAAACAATATATATGATAAAAACTGCATATACTAACACCTGTATGGGCAATTAATATAATTAATGTAATATTTAAATAGCATAAATTTGAAATATCATAATAACATAATAACATTACATAATAAATAAGTATTATTAAATACATTTAATATTTAATTATAATTAATAAATAAATATAACTACTAATATAATTAATAATTATATAATTATAATACTTACAATGCATAATAATAGACAACAAAACACTATATATGATAAAAATTGCATATACTAACACCAGTATAGACAATTAAAATAATTAATTTTATATTTAAATAGCATTCATTTAAAATATTATAATAACATAATAACATTACATATTAAATAAGTATTATTAAATACAATAAATATCTAATTATAATTAATAAATAAATAATACTACTAATATAATTAATAATTACGTAATTATAATACTCACAATGCATAATAATAGACAACAAAACACTATATTTGATAAAAAAAAAGTTCATATACTAACACCTGTATAGGAAATTAAAATAATTTTATATTTAAATAGCATTAATTAAAATATAATAATAATAATAATAATTAATAAATAAATCTACTAATACTGTAATACTTACAATTTGTAATAATAAACATCAAAAAAACTATATAAAACTATAAAATTCTTATTTTAGGAGAACAATTCAGACGGCATTTAGAGGTTTTTGCATTATATATATAATAATACTGTATCTTATTAACATGACAGACCCATAATAATTATTTTCTTACGGCAGAATGTGTGATTCCTCCAGCTCAGCAGCGCCCCCTCTTGAGCACAGTGTGTGGCGTATGCGGTGAGGACGGAGCAATGGCAGGATGCCTGCGGGCCGCAGCTGCACACTTCACTGACACACAGACGCATGAACGGCTCTCTGTCCACCACATCATGACACGCCTGAAAAACACACTTGAGTTAACACTACTAAAACTACTATCAGCAGGGCTATTTTCGTCTCTATGGAGACTCCTGTCGCTGTTCGTTTGGTAATCTTCAGCAGCTCAAAACTCTAATGGCTAATACACGGCTACTTCTCACTCAGGGCTGTTTATGCTAATGAGGGTGAGTTGGTCATTAGTGGGCGGGGCTTTCCCCCTCTGATGACAAGTACAAAGGGAGAATGTCAATCAAAGTGCTTCAGCAGACTGTTTTTATTAAGTGTGATTATGAAAAATAGATAAAAAAAGATTTAAGATTAAAAAATAGATTAATCAAAGGAACTAAAACTAAACTGAGATGTGCAGCTGATTCAAAAATAAAAAAGTTAAAATGTAAAATTGCTATAATAGCCGTGCCGTCATCAGACTGACCTGAAAGACATTGCTGTGGATGACTGAACACACTCTCTCTGCCAGCTGTCTGCGCTGGGTCAGCGTCCCGCAGGGGTCAGACGTCATCGCTGAGGGTGCAGGACAGGAGCCCACTATGAATTTGGCAGCAAAAGAGGCGGCGCTGTTCTCCACATCACCTTCAGGAGTGGTGAAATCATCATGCTGACTCCAGCTCAGAGTGCCACACAACCCTCGAACCTGACAACAGGACAAGAAGCCAAGTGTTAGATGAGTTACTGGATGGATGGATGGATGTGTGGATGGATGTGTGGATGAAATAAGGAATGATGGATGGATGGATGGACGAAATAATGAATAATGGATGGATGGATGAAATAATGAATGATGGATGGATGGATGGATGGATGGATAGATGGATGGATGGATGAAATAATGAATGAATGGATGGGTGGAAAAAATAATGGATGGATAAAATAAAGAATGGATGGATGGATGGATGGATGGATGGATGGAATAATGAATGGATGGAAGGGTGGACAAAAGTGGATGGATGAATTAAACAATTAATGAATGATAGAGAGACAAAATTATGAATGGATGGATGGACGAAATAATGAATGATGGATGGATAGATGAATGGATGGATCAATGAATGGATGGATGGATGGATGGATGGATGGATAGATGGATGGTGGATGGATGGATGAAATAATGAATGAATGGATGAGTGGACAAAATAATGGATGGATGAAATAAAGAACGGATGGATGAATGAATGAATGAATGAAATAATTGATGGATAGATTGATGAATGAATGAATGGATGGATCAAACTATGAATCAATGGATGGGTTAACAAAATAATGGATGGATAAAATAAAGAATGGAAAGATGGATGGATGGATGGATGGATGGATAAAATAATTGATGGATGGATAGATGAATGAATGGATAGATGAAATAACTAATTATAGATAGAAAGTGGGGTGGACAGATCACCTACAGGTCATTTTAGTAAGCATGGTTTTGACTGTGAAATATATTTGACTAAATTAAAAACACAAACAAACAAAACATTACTACAAATACGGAACATGAAAAAAATAAATACGAACACAAAGACACAAACTAACAGGCCCTGAGGAGCACTGTGTGTGTTTGTGTTACCTTATGAGCGAAGCCAGGCTGCAGGGTGATGAATAATAAAGGCCCGTCCAGATGCCACATCAGCTGAGCACCGAACGCCTGAATCAGCAGGACACTAGAGGACGCTCGCCTGACCAGCAGATCTCCTGTGACCACCGGCAGAGGATTCCTGTGCCCGTTCACCAGCACTGAGCCTGGGACACAACACAGTCATGGACATAGAGTAAAGTGGATGGGTGGAGTGATGGATAGACGAATAATGAATGATGGATGGATTGATAGATTAATGAGTCAATGAAAGTTGATGAATGGGTGGA